GCTCTTCCTCTTGGGTACTGGGAAAAGGTCTTCGCCATCGCTACTCACTTCCAGAGACGCTACCACATGGACGCAGGATTTCTAGTTCGCTTCTCAGGACAGAACACTGGACATCCACCAATGGTTGGCATCCGGCTGTCTCAAGGATCCGTGGTCTCATAGCGCTAAGTAATCCCCGTCATACCATAAGCTAGGAAGCTTCTTTCCATAGACAGCTGTAGAGGTCTCCCAGCCGCCATCCCCCGATGACTCCATCGGGATTAATGGCGAAATTCACCGAAACTGCAAAGTCTTTGGCACTCACTCTTCGTATGAATTCCATGCTCTGCCCTTCAAGAGGAATAACCTTCCTTGTCAAACTCTCTCACAGTGAATTCTTCCATCACTGTAGGGAACCCAGCTTGAAAGGTTTCAAACATGCAGTCACCAGAGTGCCAGTCGTTTGGCACCACCCACTCTGAGCGCAGTGCGCAGGCGCACTCATTCCATGGTGCATGGGTAATGCCGGGGTGGGGGTGGGGGTGGGGGTGAGAGTGGCTTTTTTTACCCTGAGATATGAGACAGTGATTGTCTAGGTAACAGGCCTGGCTGACCTAGAACTCTCTGTAGACCTCGCTGTCCTGGGACTCACAGAGATCTACCTGCCTCTGCCTCCGGAATGCTGGGATGAAATTCTGGTGCCACAGGGTCCAAGTCTGATTTTAAAAGTGGGTTTTTATTCTTGTTCTTCCTCTTTTTAATTTAATAAATATGAGTGTTTTACATAACTGTATGTATGTGCAACATATATATTGTGAGACACACATACTGCGTGTGTGGAAGTCAGGAGGGGGCTTTGGATCCCCTGGAACTGAACTTACAGGTTCCTGACTCCCGTGCGAGTTCAGGGAGTCTAACCCTGGACCTCAGAAATTGCGCTGATTGCTCTTTCCCCCTGAGCCATCTCTCAGGCCCCAGTGTTGGTTATAATTATTCCATAGCATCTGTGCACACACAGGCATGAGGAGGTCAGAGGACAGCCTACAGAAGTTGGGTGCCTGCTTCCAGTATGTGGGAGTCACACACGGGACTCAGGACAACAAGTTGAAAGCAACACCTTTACCCACTGATCCTTTTCACTGGACCAAAAAGGGCAGAGTTTTTTCATTTTGTATATTTGTGGTATTGGAAGTTTTGGGGGTGTTTATGTTTGGTTCCTTGATTTTGTTTTTTTAATTTTATGCAACCCTCTCTTATGCCCAGTTGGGCCTCCTACTTGCTATGTTGCCAATTCTAACATTCTAGTCTTGATGAACCTCCTGTCTCAGCTTCTCAAGACAACTGTGCTGATGCATTGTGGTATACCATCACTCTGGATGCTAAGACAGAAAGATCAAGACTTTTCTGGCCGCCAGGCATACTAATGCTCACCTTTGAACCCATCAGGCAAAGACAAAGGGATTTCTCTGAGTTCAAAGCCTCTGTGCTCTATAGAATAAGTTCCAGGACAGCCAAGGCTGATACATGGAGAAACTGTGTCTCAAAAAACAAAACAGGCACGCCATTGGCTGCACATACCTTTAATCCCAGCACTCATGAGGAAGAGTCAGGCACATCTCTGTGAGTTCGAGGCCTGCCTACTATACTTACTGAGTTCCAGGACAGGCTCCAAAACAACACAGAGAAACCCTGTCTCAAAAAAAAAAAAAAAAAAAAAAAAAAAAAAGGAGGGAAGGAAGGAAGGCAGGCAGAAAACAACCCTCCTAAAATGTATAAAAAGGCTATCTGTAGAGGTAACAGCACAACTTTCCAGAGTTAGATCTCTCTTTCCATCAAGGCATTGACCTCAAGTCATCAGACTTAGGGGGCAGGAATGCTAGCATTAAGGGACTGCTGACTCAGTTTCCCAAATGAGGGGATTAAGGATGAAACCACCATTCCTTTCTAGGATAAAATTTAATTCCTAGGAGAACCTCAAGAGGTGAATGACCCTTCGGTCAGGAAAATAAAGACCTTTACTTTGGAGGACCAGATGCCTTTAAAACTCTTAACACATCTAGATTAAAATGATGACTATCAAAAAATCATATGTAGTTGACAAAAAAATAAAAAATGGTATTCAGAAAGAATGTCTTATTCCAAGAAACATCTATTGTGCCTATTACTTGAGCTGAATAACCATTTCTATTCTTATTACAGATCTTCTCTCAGATAGCCCAGGATAGGTTCAAATCTGAAAGGAGCCCAGGCTGGCCTTGAATTATGCCTTACAAATGGGGAGATTAGAGATATCTATGACCACACCTGGTCCTTTTTAAGAATATGTAAAGGAAGGATGAGCAGGGTGTGGAGGTACACACCTCTAAGCCCAGGCTTGGAGGCAGGAGGATTAGGAGTTCAAGAGCACGCCAAGATAGAAAAGTTTCTGGTAGTTTCCTTGTCCCATGTTTGTGAGGGCCTGCATTCAATCGCAGTATTCCAAGACACAGGCACAACAAACAAAATCCTTATCAGGACACAATATCTGTCAAAAGATATTCAAAGGGGGGTGACAGAGTGGCCTGCTCCCATACACCTGCCTTTGAGTGACAGAGGCATGCAACCCTGAGGGAAAACCATTCTCTGGTCCGTAGCCAAACTGCAGCCTGAGCTACATGAGACCTTCACTCAACAGGAGAATGGGGGGGACAGGGAGAAGGCTGACTGTATAAAAGCATTTGTCCTCAACCCCATGACTACAGCGTGCAGAACCCACAAAGTAGAGAGACCTGGGGCACATGCATCTGTCCACGTGAACACATGTGTTTATATGTATGAAAGGAAAGGAGGGGAAACAGTGTTGGTAAGGTGTGTTACCACAAAAACTGTTTTCAGGACAAACCAGAGTTCAATTCCCTGAACTCATACCAAGAGTTAAAGGAGGAGAACATTCAAAAAGTTGTCTCTATACCTCCCCACATGCATCATGATGGACAAGAGGCATACACACACACACACACACACACACACACACACACAAATTATATTAAGAATTAAAATTAAATTGTTTGCTCCAGGTAGGCATGATCTGCAGGGTGAGTTCAGAGACAGCAAAGACTACACAGAGAAATGCTGTGTAGGAAAACAACAGCTGGAGAGATGGCTCAATGGTTGAAAATACTTGTTGCTCTTACAAAGCTCTCTGAACCTGTATGGTCCAAAATCCTTATGGCCAATGCAAAGCACTTATGTGTGGTACACAGTGTACACAAAGACAAAAGGCATCCACATAGTGTAAGTTGTTTGTTAAGTGTCACGTGGTCAGGAGAGAAGGGGAAGGTAAGTCTCTGTGAGACAAGGAAAGAATGCAGTCTGCTAAAAGAGACCTTGTTGTCCACTCTCAGAGGCTGAGAGACTGCCCAGAATCATGACTACAGAGAATTAGTTCAATACAGATGGAGAGAAAAAGTAGGTTAAGCTCTTTAAAAACTCTACATTGGCCTGGTGGTGGTGGCACAGGCCTTTATCCCAGCACTAGGGAGGCACAGACAGGGGGATCTCTGTGAGCTCCAAGCCTGCCTGGTCTACAAGAGACAGAGTTCCAGGACAGCCTCCAAAGCCACAGAAAAACCCTGTCTCGAAAAAAAAAAGTCTTCATTCTATTAATTTATATATAAAGGAAAAAATACCGGTATAAAACGGGCTTCTATCCAGAACTGAGTATAAGAGCTCTTCTTTTCTTGTCTTTTTCTTTTTATCTGAGGCAGGGTTTATCTCTGTACCTTTGATTTCCCGAAACTTGCTCTCTAGACAAGGTTGGCCGCCAAAACACAGGTCCACCAGGCTCTTCCTCTTGGGTACTGGGAAAAAAGGTCTTCGGCATCGCTACTCACTTCCAGAGACATTACCATATGGACGCAGGATTTCTAGTTTCCTTCTGTAGACGGAACACAGGGCACCAACCAATGGTTGGCATTCAGTTGTCTCAAGGATCCGTGGTCTCAGAGAGCTAAGTATACCCCATCCACCGTTAAGCTAGGATACTTCCTTCCATAGACAGCTCTGGAGGACTCACAGCCTCCATCCTCCTGATGACTCCATTGTGTTTAATGGTGAAATTCACCGAAACTGCAAAGTCTTTGCCTGAACCATTAACTCTTCGTATAAATCCCATGGCTTGCTTTCAAAAGGAATAACGTTTCCTTCCTTGTCAAACTTTCTCACAAAGAATTCTTCCACCACTGTAGGGAACACAGCTTGAAAGGTTTCAAACTTGCAAGTCACCAGACTGCCATTCGCTGGGCACCACCCGACCTTAGCCCACTGCGCAGGCGCAAGTTCCCTTGGCGCATGGCACATGGATAATGGGTAGGGGGAGTGAGATTGGCTGTTTGTTTTGTTTATTTTTTGCTTTTTCCAGACAAGAGACCGGGTTTGTCTGTGTAACAGTCTTGGCTGACCTAGAACTAGCTGTAGACCATGCTGTCCTAGGACTCACAGAAGTTCAGTTGTCTCTGCCTCCCAAGTGCTGGGATAAAAGGCGAGCATCACCACTGGTTTAAGCGTATGTGTTGTCTATGTAAGTTTATTTGTATCCCATGTGAGCAGGTGCCCTTAGAAACCCTCCCGGAGCTACAGTTAAGCCTTTTGATGAGGCTGTTCGAAACTGAGCCCTTGTACTTGGAAGAGCAGCCATTAATCACTGAGTTTTTGTTTGATCAAAATTCCAATAAAACTTAACAGTTTTTTTCTGTGTGATTGTAGCAAGATCTTGTATAGCTCACCCTAGCCTTGGACTCCTCATTCTCTTGCTTCTTCTCTGAAGTATTAGCATTATAACTGTAGGCCAAAAAGCCTACAGAACATTTAAAAGAAGTATAATAACTTTTTTAGATTTCATTTTCTCATTTTATGTGCATGAATGCTTTGACTGCACGTATTTTTCTCAAGTCTGGTGCTTGCTATAAGTAGTTGCTAGCCATCACGTTGGCGCTGGGATCCAAAGTTGCCTCGTCTGCAAGAACAACCATTGTTTGTTTGTTTTTCATATGGAATGCTTCACGAATTTGCGTGTCATCTTTGCTCCAAGGGCCGTGCTAATCTTCTCTGAATCATTCTAGCATGCAGCCATTTATCTTAAACAATGAACCATCCCCTGAGCACACATTGCTTGGGGACCAGTACCTATAGGAACCCACAAGGTGTCCTAAAGTTCGCTGCTGCCTCTGGAGCTGCTCCAAGTGCTGGCTGCTTCACACCTGGAACCTTCACTAACTAGGTACCAACAGCTCTCAGGGAGCCACGTTTCTGGAGGTGACAGATCCCAGGGCTGACCATCAGCTCCTCAGAGAGGCAACTTATGTCACCCTGCCCGCCATTGTTCTGTGAAACAGAGCTTCTCCCCGAGGCTATGTGACATTTGCATCCCATGCCACAACAAGGGGTTTCATTTGGTGGGCACAGCGTATGGCATGCTCGCCCGGGAAGTTCTCTGCATGCCTCTTGCCGTTTCCCATGAGCGCCCACGGGAAGTTATGAATGAATTCTACTTCCAGAGAAACCAGGAAGCAGGAAGAACAGGCGACTGTTGAGAGAAGGCTGTGACCAAGAACCAGTTCCGAAGATGAAAGAGTTTTCTGCACTTATCATAGTTTCCTAGAAATGATAAAGTTAACTTACAGTTTCTTCCCAAATGCCTGCATTTAGCTCAAGGTGACATATTTGATTTATATCCTGACTTTGCATTCTCAGAACTGAGCAACCAAAGCGATACATTGCCAGCCCCTTTCCAAACCAAGAAATAAGGCCATACTCCCTGGTGGAAGCATTTATTCTGCAGAGGCAGAGGCAGGTGGATCTCTAAATCCCCCTGAGCCAGGACTGCATGGTGTACTATCTGGAAATAGAGATGACTGCCTGAAGGCACTGCCTATATCCTTGAATGTACGAGGTAGAAGCAGAAGTTTCAGGAGTTCAAGGTTATCTCACACCCAAATTATATCCTTGTTTTTTCTTTATTCCCTTCAGTTTTCTTTTCTTTGGGGTAGGGACTGGTCTTGAACTCACTATGTATGACCTTAGGCCTCTGATCCCCCCAGTGTGCATGTGCAAAGTGTTGAGATTGCAGGTTTAGCAACTGCTCCTAGGTGTTGGATTTGGGGGTGGGGGTGGGGAGGTTTCGAGACAGGGTATCTCCATTTAACAGCCCTATGGCCTCCAACTCACATAGATCCGCCTGCCTCTGCCTCGCCAGTGCTGGGATCAGAGGCGTGTTGGGCAAGCACTACATCCCTGAGTCATGTCTTGTGAAAGGGGTAAACTAAACTCAAAGGCTTCACTTGTAATAATTTAGAAATAAAGGGACCAGACCCTCACTCAGCCCCCTGCTGTAGCAGCCATGACAGGCTACAGAAAAGACACGTAGGCCTCTGACACAAGGAAACCCCAGATCCTCTGGCTACCAGAGTCTATGGCCAAAACTGCACACAAATAAACTCCAGACACCACCCCCACAGCCTCCTAGATACTTGGGAACTGTTTGGCCAAAATGAAACTCCAGGGGAGACCAAAACCTCCCTGTAGTCTCCAGGATATAGTTCTGAAAACTATTTGTATCTACGTACAACAGGCTACCTGCAAGTAACAAGACAATGCCATAGAAACCACAGAATGTTCCCTCTCAGCACTGACCAATGAGAATAGTTGGTACCCAGGTATTTCATGCCAAAATATGACTTTGAGAAATTCTCCTGATTGTTCCCAAATGTCAACCAATCAGAAACTAGCCCATACCTACTGATGTCATCCTGTAACTTTTGTCTTTAAAACCTAGCAGTAGACAGGGAACTTCACTCCTTCTGGAGGCTGCTGCGTCAGCTTGCTAGATGGGGTCCCTGTCATGGTTGGATAAACGATCATTAAACCTTGCTTTTGCAATTTGGTGGGTCTGTCTTCCTGGTGGTCTCTGGGGACTTTGCAACCTGTGCACAGCAGTCTTCCCTGCTTCCCACCCCTAGATACCTACTTATTTGTCTATTTGTAGTGTTTCTCCCCAGCCTTTTTTGCCTGGTGAAGCCACAGGATGTAGACCTTGTGGCTGTGTGTCACTCCACATTCCCAAGTCTGTGTTGATATCTTTATGTTATTATTACTATTTATTTTGCTGTTTTGGTCTTGTTTTGTTTTGTTTTGTTTTTGAGACAGGGTTTTTCTGAGTAGCCCTAGCTGTCCTGGTACTCACTCTGTAGACCAGGTTAGTCTCCAACTCAGAGAATACCTGTCTACCAGGTCCTGGGACTAAAACATCAACCACCGTGCACTGGTTTTGTGCTTGATAGCTTTATATTCTCCATTAGAACAAATCAATTATTCTGGGAGGAGAGGTTACCTTGTTGTTTATTCATTCATTCATTTGTGTCTTATGTTCATTTGTTTGATTTTTAGACAGGCTTTCTTGGTATAACAGCCCAGGCTGTCCTGAAACTTGCCTTGTAGACTAACACGGCCTCAAAAACACAGAGCTCCTTCCAAGTGCTGGGGTTAAAAGGTCCGTGCTTTACCTCTTTTTGGTGAGTTTCCCATTTTAAATCCCTGTCTTTTTTTTTTTTAATTACGTATACAGTGTTCTGCCTGCATGCCAGATGAGGGGGATCAGATCTCATTATAGACGGTTGTGAGCCGCCATGTGGTTGCTGGGAATTGAACTCAGGTCCTCTAGAAGAGCAATCAGTGCTCTGAATCTCTGAGCCATCTCTCCAGCCCCTTAAATCCCTGTCTTTATCTAAACTTTCCAACTTGCCCTTGGCATTCCAGTAACTATTGTTTTTACATCCATACATAGGCTAAGCAGGGTCATGGAATCACAAGAACTTGAGATCCAGAGGAAGGGGCTGACTCCAAGGCCAGAAGGTAGAATGGGTATGTCCAGCCTTTAAGCCATTCAAGGTTCAGATGGACTGGAGGGATAAAGGAGACAGCTCCCAGTGCCAGGCCCTTTCTGTTTGCCTGAAGTTGTGACTTGCCTCTAGAGCTCTGGGGGTGAGTATCCCTCCTTCCCTACTCATAGCTTCCTCAGGAAGCTCTCTTCCGACTTCACCCTTGCTCTGTGACCCCTCCTCAGTCATGTGTCCAATCTCCATCAGGTGTCTGACTTTATTTTTTTTCCCAGTGCCGGGGAAGGACCCAAGGACCTTACACGTGCCCAGCAATATTTTATTCTGTTTTATCTACCCCCGTGTTGGCTTGACCTCATTTTTACTGTGTAACTAAGGCTACTCTTGAGTGCCCGATTTCACCGTTTCCCACCTCTCTAGGGATGGGGTTACAGGTCTGTGTCACAGGGGGCCTAGAGCAATATAAATATATAGACTAGGTGTGGAAACCTGGCTGGCCTCATACTCAATTGAATTGCATGTATGTGGTGCCATGTGCAGCTAAGAATGTAAATGCATGCTATGTATATTTGTGTATATGTGGGTCGAGGTTAGAAAACAATATGAAATTGTTTCTGTACATGTGACTACCAGGGATTGAACTCCGGTCATTATCAGGCTAAACTCTCTTCTGACTTCAACTTTGCTCTGTGGCCCTTCTCAGTCAGATCTCCAAACAAGGGTTGTGTTTTCTTTACAAATAATAGTGTGTGTGTGTGTGTGTGTGTGTGTGTGTGTGTGTGTAGACAAAGCTCACCTTTTTTTTAAGATTTATTTGTTTATTGTGAATACAACATCCTGCCTCAGTATCTGTCTGCAAGCCAGAAGAGGATACCAGATCTCATTACAGATGGCTGTGAGCTACCATGTGATTGCTGGGAATTGAACTCAGGACCTCTGGAAGAGCAGTCAGTGCTCTTAACCTCTGAGCCATCTCTCCAGCCCCCGAAGCTCACCTTTGATAAAGCTCTGGAGGAACAAAGGCAGACAGATCTGATGTGCAGCCAAATTTGGTCATCCGTGAGAGCAGCAAATGATCGTAAACTCTGAGCCATTTCTCCAGGCCCATAAATAGAACAATTCTACTCCCCCTTCTTCAGCCAAGCAAGATGCCCAAGGGGAAGAAGGTGCCCCCCTCCTCTGTTGCCCTCGTGAAGAAACAGGAGGCCAAAAAGGTGGTGGATCCTTTGTGTGAGAAAAGGCCTAAGAACTGTGACATTGGGCAGGACACCCAGCCCAAGAGAGGTCTCCACACGCTTCATCAAATTCCCCCTTACATTCAGCTGCAGTGACTAAGGGCCATCCTCTACAAGCCGCTCAAAGTACCTCCTGCCATTAACCAGCTCCCCCAGGCCCTGGACCGGCAAACAGCTACCCAGCTGCTTAAGCTTGCCCACAAGTGCAGGCCAGAGACAAAGCAGGAGAAGAAGCCAATGATTGTTGCCCCGTGCTGAGGAGAAGGCTGCTGGCAAACGGGATGTCCCAACTAAGAGGCCACCTGTCCTGTGAGCAGGAGTCAACACTGTCACCACCTTGGAGAACAAGGCTCAGCAGGTGGTGATCGCCCACGATGTAGACCCCATTGAGCTGGTGGTCTTCCTGCCTGCCCTGTGTCGGAAGTTGGGGGTCCCCTACTACATCATCAAGGAAGAAGCCAGGCTGGGATGCCTGGTCCACAGGAAGACATGTACACACACACACACACACACACACACACACACACACACACACACATACACACACATTGCCTTCACACAGGTTAACTCAGAAGACAAAGGTGCTCTGGCTAAGCTGGGGGAAGCTCATAGGACCAATTACAGACATGATGAGATCCGCCACCACTGGGGAGGCAATGTCCTGGGTCCTAAATCTATGGCTTGAATTGCCAGGCTGGAAAAGGCAAAGGCCAAAGAATATTAAACCGGGTTAAATGTACACTCACTGCTAAGTTTTCTATCCATAAATACAAACTTGTCTTCCAAAAACAAAAAATTCCTGCAGTGGCCCTAAGATCTGGTGATCCAGGAGAAAGGAAGAGGTAGCCAATGAGTTTATGTATATTTGATCTTAAAAAATGGGGCAACCAGGCAGTGGTGGCGCACGCCTTTAATCCCAGCACTCGGGAGGCAGAGGCAGGTGAATCTCTGTGAGTTCAAGACCAGTCTGGTCTACAAGAGCGAGTTCTAGGACAGCCTCCAAAACAATACAGAGAAGCC